TTTATTTTATTTATTCCTCTACCTCTCTGGAGCACATCTAAGAGTTAAAAAAATGCAGAAACCTGCCTCGCTTTTGCATGCAGTGAACGTACAGTAGCGATGAACTGTACATTTTTCCAATTCAATATGCCTGTTTTCGTTTTATTGCTAAGTTTACTTGACAGCTTTGTGCTATTCTACTTTCCTTAGCGAGTGAAGATGCCCCAGTTTTCTACACGGTACGTAAATCATTGCTTCCTCTCAGGTGTTGTGCGCGTTACTGAATACAGCAGGTGTATAATTCGTACAAATGTTCGGGGAGCCGTTCGGGGTGGGCAGGTATGAGCCGGGCTTCCAGGACTTGGCTTTGAATCCTCTCTCGCAGGCCGAACAGTCTTGTCCAGTGGTGTTGTGCTCGCAGTCGCACTGAAGGGTCCCGTCACGGAGGGAGCACTGACCGGCGTGGAGGTTACACTTACACCTGTGAAAACAGGGAACACCAATTAGCACACTTGTTACATCGCAGCCACAGGCAAGGGCGAAAGCTGCACCACCGAGGATAATTCCCACCTTTTATTTGTTAGGGTCACCCGAGGTAACTCATTAGCTCAGCTGCTCGGCTCAAGAAATCAGCTAGGCTAATTAGTGGAGCCAGACATAGTAGCGCATGGCTGAAACAGTACCTGTAGGGAATACTGTGGATTCTACAGATCTTTACAATGTGGTTGATGTGTATACAGTTATATAGAAGAGGATTTAGGCGGGGCTAACCAGTACAACGCTGGTTCTGTTGCTTATCATGGCTGTTGTGGAGAAAATCTCATCTCCGGAAGTCACTGTAGTACTAACTTGCATGAAGTTAAATTGTTTTTAAAGATTTTTTTTTTTTTTACTTAATTTGGATGCATCTCGTTAGGAGCATGTGCACTGCAATAAATCCTATTAATAATGAGTATTCTGTCTTATTTTCTAGGTGACTTCTACAAGATTTTCAAACAAGAAAAATGAACTTGAAAATCAACTCTGTGTTAGATATTGGACTAAGAGGTCCTATTAATAGATTGTTAAATTGAGTGTATATTATCTTCATGCACAGGCATTTTTTGTATTATTATTATTATTATTTTCTTTTTTACTTAAGTCTAAACAAGATAAATTGATGTGACAAAATTTGCCAGTACAGTGCAGTGTTATTGTAAAACTATTAAAAATTTCAAATAAATGTTTTTGCTAATTCCCATAAAGCTGAGATAAAATAAAATATAAATGGTGAAAAACAAAATAGATGAAAAACTTTTAAGTATTTTTTTTTTATTTCAGTCAAGTTGATGTATAAAATTACTAAAACTGAAATAAAAAATAAATCAAAGATTTAAAACTGATTTTAAAGTGTAAAATATTAATAAATCAAATATTCATAATTTTTTAAATAGTACATAAATAACACTCAAATAACACTGGTGTAGAGGATATATCTTTAATATAAGTGTATTTTGTCAATGCATTGGCATATATTTTTTAAAACTTGTTTTAAGTCTAAAAATCGAGTAAGAATATATACCAGTGTTGTTATAGTAAACTAAAACTATTAAATCATTTTTAATAACTTAAATACAACTGAAATTAAATATAAATATTAAATGAAAAGCTTAAACTTAAAAAGGTAAACATTTCTAATTTAAGTTGAAATATTAAATTATTACAACTCAATTAAAAATAAATTAAAGCTAAGTAGAAATAGTAAAAATGACAAAAACACAACAAAACTGACAAAAAAATGATTCTCAGATCATTTCACCGAAAAACAAATGGGGAGAGAGTGTGTGGTCCTGACCGCTTCTGTCTGCACTTTTCTAGAGATTAGTGTGATCTTTTTTACTTTCTTCAATGTTTCTAATCTTTCATCATTATCAAGACTCTTCCCATGCCCCATGTTTTTAAGCACTTTAGAGTCTGTTTGTGTTTGTTGTAGATGCGGGAGAGTTTGATTCTGGTTGTCTCTGATGTTGGAGATAAAACTCTGGGATCTTTGGGGACAGTAAACAGCATCCGTCTGCTCTACTCCAAATATAGCAGCCGTCTACTGGGGGGAAGGGAATACCTCAAAAAAGATGGAACCAACAAAAGAGAGAGAGAGAGAGAGTGAGTAATGATTATCGCTAGTAATGAGAATAAATGGGGGGTATTGAGATGGCCTTGCCTTGTCTCTCCTTATCATTGGCTTTATAAGAAAAATCTGCAGTGCTCCACAAAATATCGCTTCCCTCCTTTGAGTTTATGAGGAATGCTCTGGCTATCTGACAGCCGAGTTTAAGGATAGTTGAGATTAAAGGTCTGGGGAAGAAAGCAGGTTAGTATGGAAATGACAACTTTTGCAATTATAATCTCTCTAATCAAATGAGTGTGTAAATCCCAATGCTTCGGATTTTTTTTCATCCTCACTAGAGCGAACAGCTATCCATTTGCATGAAATATTTATGAAGCTGACCTATATATTTCCATGCAGACACCCCATAACCGAACCTTGTATTGCCGTATAATGAGGTCATACCTCGCCCTCCGAAGATTCCCTTAAAAAAAAGTGATGCCTTGCCAACATATTGTACGAAACTCCGGAATAAAATGCTGTCTTATGCGTCAATCACACACCCTTTCATTCGGCTGTTTCTCCAAGACCAAGTGCCCATCAAGCTCCTATCATGACAAATTAATCAGCGGCGGACCACTTCATTGCAGAGATTCTCGCCTTAAGGGAGACCTCTCTACTTTTGAGAGGCAGCGCAGGATCTGAAGCGAGTGTTAATCAATTAAAGCACGGCAAGGTCCCGTATCAATTTCTGACCAAATCCAGGATGTGTGCTTTACAATCCTCTTATGTCCAGATTGGAATTAGGACCCACCCTGTGAGGAGCGATGAAAAACGGATGACAATGAGTCTCTGTGTAATGTAGTGCACTGAGAGCAGATACAGAGGTGTATGTCTTGCTCCATGTGTTCATTATGCTTGGGTTGCATATTTGGGTGTTGCTTTATCTATGGGCACTTTTATGTTCAGTTCTTTTTTTTTTATTAACTAAAACTAAAAGTTAAAAAAACCCTCAACCATTTTTAGTAATAATAAATGTTTGTTGAGCAGCAAATTGGCATATTAGAATGATTTCTGAAGGATCATGTGACACTAAAGACTGGAGTAATGATGCTGAATATTCAGCTTTGCATCACAGGAATAAATTACATTTTTAAATTGTATTAAAACAAAAAACAGCTTTTTTAATTGTAATAATATTTCACAATTTTACTGTCTTTTTTATTTTATTTTTGATCAAATAAATGCAGCCTTAGTGAAAATAAGACACTTCTTTCAAAAACATTAATAAATCTTACCGTTTCCAAACTTTGTACGGTAATTTATTCTACTTTTCAATTTCCTTTTATGTATAGATTTTGTTTTACTCAGCCCAGACCCAGACTTTCAATCTTAAAATATGAAAGTGAAAGTATTATTACATTCTTAAAAATGATGCTAAAAGTAATCAAAATCATAAACCATTTCACTACTGATGTAACGGGGCTGACGAGACGTGAGACGTGCGGATCCATGTGCGAGCTTTATTAAAACAGAAGAGGTCAGAAACACAGGCAGGGTCGAACAATGGCAAACAGGTATAATGAGGGCAAGACAGAAGAGTAATCCGAAACGGGCGTGGTCGATAAGCGGCTAACAATATCCAGAGGGCTTGACATGAGGGGTTATCCAATAACAATGCAAAGGTCCAGGCAGGGGCAAACAGTATCCGAACAGGGCAAGACGAGAGAGGTAGTCCGAAGTACACAGGCAATAATCAGAAGACGAGGAAACAGACAAGGCAAGACTAGGCTAAGGCTATCGAAGGGAAACAGGCTTCGTAGAGTAGCTATCGCTAAGAGAGTGATAAACGCATACAATACTCGGCAGAGGGAAGGGATCAGAGTGAGTGTTAAATAGTGAGTGAGTGATATGAAACAGCTGTGTGCAATCAGTGCTGTGTGCAATCAGTGCAATGAATGATGGGATATGTAGTCCGGGGTGATATGCAACAGTGTGTAGTGCGAGAGTCAATGAAAATGGAAAGGGTGACCTCTGATGGCTAGCAGACGGAAGTTCATGGACTGGATACGTAACAACTGAAAACTATTTAAATCAAATATTTTAAAATAATTATCATTTTATAATAATATTTTTGTGTACTTGGTTACAGGAGAAAACCGCCTCAGAGAAGAGCATCCTTGAGATGAAACAGGATAAATGTGATGTATGAAGAAAAATCAAGGTAAATATCATTATTATTGTAACATCATTTTTATTGTATTATATATTTCATAATTTCCCATTATGCAGCAAAAAGTATGAAAATATTATATAATTGTGTGTATCTGTTTTTGTATGTATTCATGTGTACAAAAAATTCTATAAATTTAGAACTATCAAATCCAAAAATGTCATTTCCACCACATAATTCTGTGCAATAAATCATTTGAAATGTGATGGAAAAGACACACATGAAAATGTTCATGATGTTTTAGGAAAAAAAATAAAAAAATTACATAAGTGAGCAATATACATACACACTTTCATACATTTTTAGAGGGGTAATTAAGCTAGTGAGAGTATGAAAAGTGTGTTTTGAGAGAGTTAACACAAGAATGAAAGTGTCAAAGCAACACCTAATGAAGGTGCATTCAGCACGGTTAAACGTGTAGTGTTAAATCAGGAATTGCATCTTAAACAAAAGTTGCCAGATAATAGCGGCAAAGTCACATCGCCGACTAATGCAGGGCAGCTGTGGGAATCTAACGTCCCGCGAAAAAACAGCACTCGAAGTGATGCAAGCCCTTGGCAAAAACAACGCTAAAAAGAAATCTGTCTGGTTTGACAGCTGAATAAATGCCTGCTGGCGTTTTGTAAATGTGCATGGATAGTGAGTGTGAAAACTGCAAACGATACGGGCGCTAGCTTGCAGATTGGTATGCGTTCCTCATCATCATGAATATTCTAAATTATTGACACCTCACCAAAAAAAAGTGCTATGTAGACAGTAAAGTCTTGTGATTAAAAACCAAGGACAAAAGGAATAATTTGTGCCACTGTTCAGAACGGAGAGGGCAAGGCTGTTTTGCTCTTATTAAAACGCTGGCATTATGGGGTTAGATGGGCTGATGAAGCGGCCCGGGTGCGTTTCTAGCGCAATCAGGCAGTCTCGCTGCAGGGTGCAGGGGAACAGCGGGAGGCATCCTGGACCTCGGTTGGGGGGCGAAGTAGCAGCATCTTTTTCTGGGGTGTGAGGTGAGGTTTCTCTGCCCTGCACTCACAGAATCTGTGTGGATCCAGGGCAGCTATATCCAGACACCGCAGGGCTGGGACCCCACTGCTTGGGACAGGAACAGATCTCATGGGCACGCTTGCTGCCAGGCTCTGCTGTTGGGATAGGATCAAACCCCTAT